AAAAATGATGCCATACCCTCTTAGCCGTCGGGCTCTCCACGAAGATATGATCAATCGACTCAATAGAAGGAGACTCGACAGACAGAGATACAAGACTCGACACAGGGATAGATGGATCTGGACAACAATAGCACCTCGAGGCAAGAGAGGTGCCTCGAGACTGAAGTTTGGTATCCACTGGAAGACGCTGAAGAAGAAGACGCCAAAGAAAGATAGAAATTGTAGGAGTAAGACAAGATCCCCAAAATATACGAAGAAGAGGGGTAGGGGTATGGTGTTGTCGTATCAAGGCCCAAGCCGAGGTCAAGGAAAACTTGCCATCCGAAGAAGCTCTCCAAATGGGCAAATCACCCGAAGCACCAGAGATTGGGACCGAGCAAATCCTATCGATCCACTCAAAAGGAATATCCTCAGCTAGCTTGTTTCGATCCCACTGACCGTTGACCAAATAATACTCCACACGAACTGATGTTAGCCGACCACCATCAATAATGCCCGAAAGGGGACCATCGCCAAACCAGTGGTCGTGCCAGAAATAAACATGACCTGGACCAATCCGCCAAAATATTTGAGCTTGAACACGCTCTCGGACACGGCACATGCGCTTCCACACCGTGCTATAGAGTGAAGACACAACGGATGAACCTGGGAACCGATTCCGACAATACTTGTTTCGGAGAAAACGGGCCCAAAGAGAATCCTGAGCACGGAATCGAAACCAGAGCTTGTAAGTGAAGGCGTCAATCACATCCGTCAAACGCCTCAACCCCAAGCCACCCTCACTAATTGGCCGACAAATCGTCTCCCAAGCAACCCAATGAGGCCGGCGCTGATTACCATAAGATCCCCAGAGAAATCGGGCCATGCACTGCTCAATCTGCTGAATAATGTACTGCGGAGGTTGAATAACCTGAACAAGATGCAAAGCCATAGTCGAAAGCGTACTCCGGATCAAGGCAAGACGGCCCCCGAAAGCCAAAGCGGTCCGAGCCCAACCCGAAATCCTGGCTTGCATGCGATCAATCAAAGTGTGAAACAAACTGCCCCGGTCCCTCCCTTTGTATAGTGGAGCTCCAAGATAAATGATAGGAAGATCCTTTCTCGGATAACTGAGAATCCGAGAAATAGTGCGAAGATGACCATCAGAACATGCCCTATCAACTGTGAAAGTGCTCTTGTGCACACTAATCAACTGACCCGAAGTCCGACAGTAATGATCGAGAAAATCCCGCAGCTTCTTCAGGCCAAAATTATGGCACGAGGTAAATATCATCACATCATCCGCATAGGCCAAATGGGATATAGGAATGCCTTCCCTTGTAGAATAAAACATGCTTGGGCAACGGCTGTATAGTGCATCGAGACCTCTCGAAAAATACTCAGCCGCAAGTACAAAAAGAGTCGGCGAGAGCGGATCTCCCTGCCTTAGACCACGAGACGAAGTGAAATACCCCGTCAGCTCCCCGTTGATTAGTAAAGAGAACTGGCACGACGAAACACATCGCCGAATAATATCAACCAAGTTCGCCGAGAAACCCATCAGCTCGAGTACACGAAATAAGAACCGCCACTGAACTCTATCATAAGCCTTTGCCATATCCAGCTTCAAAATAAGATTCGGATTTCGACAACGAACTGATATCGAGTGGACCATCTCTTGTGCTAATAAAATATTATCACTAATGAGGCGACCCTGAACAAACCCACTCTGAGAAGGAGAAATAATGTGGGGCAAGTGAGGTGCCAGTCTGTTCGTAAGTACCTTGGTGATAATTTTATTGGTCACGTTGCACAAGCTAATCGGGCGGAAATCTGTCCAAGCCGTCGGAAAGTCCACCTTTGGAATAAGAACCAAGGTGGTAGCGGTGAAGCTCGCAGGCATAGATCCACCCTCGAAGAAATCCCAAACCGCTTCACAAACATCACACTGAATCAAGTCCCAACAATGCTGATAAAATAGCGAAGAATACCCATCAGGACCCGAAGCACTATCTTGACAAATCCCAAACACCGCATCTTTGATCTCCTCAACCGACGGACGAGTAGAGACTGAAGAAAAGTCCCTTTGAGGAGCAGAAAATAGGGACTCATCAACCGGAAGCAAACTAGGCATATCATCGGTAAGAAGCTTGCTAAAGAAATCAACGCCCGAATCCTTGATCTCCTGAGCTGATGTGAGAACCGAATCACCATGAGAGATAGAGTGGATTCGATTGACACATCGCTTTTTCTTGACTAATGAGTGGAAAAACTTAGAGTTTCTCTCTCCATCAGTCGCCCATCTACAAGCTGCCTTTTGCTTCCAAAAGTCCTCCTCAATATTGAGCATGAGAGTAAGTTCAGCAGTGGCCTTTTTCAAATTTGCACGATTCTCGGGGGATCGATCCAAGTCATATATGTGCTCGGCCTCTAGAACAGCTGCCTCGGCCCTCTCTTTATTCTTGAACACGTCCCCGAAAACATTCCAATTCCACCACTGAAGCTTCTGTTTCAATCGTCTCAACTTCGTATGTAATCGATGCATCCCCGTCTGAGCACACGGAAAATCCCAAACCTGTTCCACAATCTGACGAAACGTAGCGTGGCGGATCCACATATGCTGAAACCGGAATGAAGCAGGAGGCCTAGACGAAGAAGCAGCCGATGAAACCAAAAGAGGAGCATGATCCGACCAGGTCCGTGAGAGGTGGGTAACCTGCGTAATAGGCAGTAAATCTAGCCAAGCAGAGTTATATAGAATCCTGTCCAAACGCTCCAAAAGACCTGAAGGGCTCTCCCAAGTATAGCAAGAACTAGCCCCAGAGAACCCTCAATGGACGGTGGAGATCGATATGATCTAACGGATGTCAGCCATATCTAGTCTCCTATCCGAAACCGATCTATTCCGTTCTGACTCAAGTAAGATTGAGTTGAAGTCACCCCCAGAAATCCAAGGAGTGTCACCAATCGTCTCAAAAATGTCGCGGAACGAATTCCACAAAACACGGCGCTCGGAACGAGAGCATCTAGCATAGACTGCAGTAAATACAAAAGGAGCACCAAATAAACCAGATATGCATCTAACATGCAATAATTGTACCTCATCCCTAAGCAACTCCACTCGAAAATTGTGATCCCAAAAAATCCAAATCTTCCCCGCACAATTAGACAAACCAGCAACGAAACCCAAACGACGGCAATAGTAATCATGTACAAACTCAGTCATAGGTTCAGAAATAACCAATAAATTAACTCTATGTTGGCGACAAATATAGCGCAAGTGGGATTGGGTCGCCTTATTTTTTACCCCCCTTGCATTCCACACCAAGAATTTACCCGACATCAAGAAGAGGGTGAATGCGACCCATCTGAAGATTTCCGAGATGTGATAAAGAATGAGTTACCAATAAGGTGGGCCTCTTCCGCATGCCAACGTTCGGCATTCTGCAAACGCCAACGCTCAGCATCAATTAGGCTCGATCGCCACGAGGCCGAAGGTTCATCAGTGATAGAGCCGGGAGTAGCGTGATCAGCTGGGCGTATGCTCGTGGCTGGGCTCACGGGCTCATAAGGGATCATGGCAAGGTGATTGAAAGGAGGCGTGCCGGCCAAATTTTCCTCGGCCGTGGGCCGGACCTTGGTCACATATCCTCTCTTCTAATTTGATTTTATTTTCCTAATTGTAACTCTTTTCGTACTCTTTGATCATTTTTGCTTCATGGACACCTAATTATCAATTTGTACCTATAAGAAGATACTAAATCCACCAATTAATACAAAAATATAAATTAATCAATAAAAAAATCCACATAAACGTAATCGTTGAGTGTTATTTCTACACTCCACTGTATCTTTTGTATTTAGTGTTTTTGCTATTGTTTGGTTATGCGTATTAAAGTCCTAGTGTTGTATTTCGTGTTTTTCAGAACGTTGTTGTGAATGTACTTTTGCGCATATTTTTTTACATGTACGTTTGTGCATGTCCATTTGAGCGAGTGTGTTTGTGCATGTTTGTTGATTTGTATTAATGTCATGGGATTGTAGTTTGTGTTTTCGTGATCCTTTTTGCGAATGCACTTTTGCGTGAGTACTTCTGTGCATGCTTTTGTACTTTTACTTACGTGCGTATCTTTTGTAGCGAGTGTTTTAGTGCGCGTTTTTTGATGTGCATTCGTGTCCTCGAACTGTAGCACGTATTTTCATGATCACTTTTTGCATCCAATTTTGACCATGTTCGAGTCCGAATTTGGAAATTTGATATTAGATAGGAATTTTAGCCAGCTAAAATAGGTTTCTAATGCCGCCGGAACCAGTTGATTTGGAGTCCGGATGAGAAAGTTATGCTCGACTTCGTGGACACTACCGAAGATGTTGAGGGATCCTCTCTTCTAATTTGATTTTATTTTCCTAATTGCAACTCTTTTCTTACTCTTTGATCATTTTTGCTTCATGGACACCTAATTATCAATTTGTACCTATAAGAAGATACTAAATCAACCAATTAAAACAAAAATATAAATTAATCCATAAAAAACTCCACGTAAACGTAAACGTTAAGTGTTATTTCTACACTCCACTGTATCTTTTGTATGCTATTGTTTGGTTATGCGTATTAAAGTCCTAGTGTTGTATTTCTTGTTTTTAAGAACGTTGTTGCGAATGCACTTTTGCTCATATTTTTTTACATGTACGTTTGTGCATGTCCATTTGAGCGAGTGTGTTTGTGCATGTTTGTTGATTTGTATTAATGTCTTAGGATTGTAGTTTGTGTTTTCGTGATCCTTTTTGCGAATGCAGTTTTGCGTGAGTACTTCTGTGCATGCTTTTGTACTTTTACTTACGTGCGTATCTTTTGTAGCGAGTGTTTTAGTGCGCGTTTTTTGATGCGCATTCGTGTTCTCGTACTGTAGCACGTATTTTCATGATCGCTTTTGGAATCTAATTTTGACCATGTTCGAGTCCGAATTTGGAAATTTGACATTAGACAGGCAGGAATTGTAGCCAGCTAAAATAGCTTTCTAATGCCGCCGGAACAAGTTGATTTGGAGTCCGGATGAGAAAGTTATGCTCGACTTCGTGGACACTACCGAAGATGTTGAGGGATCCTCTCTTCTAATTTGATTTTATTTTCCTAATTGTAACTCTTTTCGTACTCTTTGATCATTTTTGCTTCATGGACACCTAATTATCAATTTGTACATATAAGATACTAAATCCACCAATTAATACAAAAATATAAATTAATCAATAAAAAAATCCACATAAACGTAATCGTTGAGTGTTATTTCTACACTCCACTGTATCTTTTGTATTTAGTGTTTTTGCTATTGTTTGGTTATGCGTATTAAAGTGCTAGTGTTGTATTTCGTGTTTTTCAGAACGTTGTTGTGAATGTACTTTTGCGCATATTTTTTTACATGTACGTTTGTGCATGTCCATTTGAGCGAGTGTGTTTGTGCATGTTTGTTGATTTGTAATACTGTCATAGGATTGTAGTTTTCGTTTTCGTGATCCTTTTTGCGAATGCAGTTTTGCGTGAGTACTTCTGTGCATGCTTTTGTACTTTTACTTACGTCCGTATCTTTTGTAGCGAGTGTTTTAGTGCGCGTTTTTTGATGCGCATTCGTGTCCTCGAACTGTAGCACGTATTTTCATGATCACTTTTTGCATCCAATTTTGACCATGTTCGAGTCCGAATTTGGAAATTTGATATTAGATAGGAATTGTAGCCAGCTAAAATAGGTTTCTAATGCCGCCGGAACCAGTTGATTTGGAGTCCGGATGAGAAAGTTATGCTCGACTTCGTGGACACTACCGAAGATGTTGAGGGATCCTCTCTTCTAATTTGATTTTATTTTCCTAATTGCGCAACTCTTTTCGTACTCTTTGATCATTTTTGCTTCATGGACACCTACTTATCAATTTGTACCTATAAGAAGATACTAAATCCACCAATTAAAACAAAAATATAAATTAATCCATAAAAAACTCCACGTAAACGTAAACGTTAAGTTTTATTTCTACACTCCACTGTATCTTTTGTATTTAGTGTTTTTGCTATTGTTTGGTTATGCGTATCAAAGTCCTAGTGTTGTATTTCTTGTTTTTAAGAACGTTGTTGCGAATGCACTTTTGCTCATATTTTTTTACATGTACGTTTGTGCATGTCCATTTGAGCGAGTGTGTTTGTGCATGTTTGTTGATTGGTATTAATGTCCTAGGATTGTAGTTTGTGTTTTCGTGATCCTTTTTGCGAATGTACTTTTGCGTGAGTACTTTTGTGCATGCTTTTGTACTTTTACTTGTGTGCGTATATTTTGTAGCGTGTGTTTTTGTGCACGTTTCTTGATGCGCATTCGTGTTCTCGTACTGTAGCACGTATTTTCTTGATCGCTTTTGGAATCTAATTTTGACCATATTGGAGTCCGAATTTGGAAATTTGACATTAGACAGGAATTGTAGCCAGCTAAAATAGCTTTCTAATGCCGCCGGAACAAGTTGATTTGGAGTCCGGATGAGAACGTTATGCTCGACTTCGTGGACACTACCAAAGATGTTGAGGGATCCTCTCTTCTAATTTGATTTTATTTTCCTAATTGTAACTCTCTTCGTACTCTTTGATCATTTTTGCTTCATGGACACCTAATTATCAATTTGTACATATAAGATACTAAATCCACCAATTAATACAAAAATATAAATTAATCAATAAAAAAATCCACATAAACGTAATCGTTGAGTGTTATTTCTACACTCCACTGTATCTTTTTTATCTAGGGATTTTGCTGTTGCTTGTTAATGCGTATTAAAGTCCAAGTATTGTTGTTCATGTTTTTAAGAACGTTGTTGCGAATGCA